ACCCCGCCGGCACGGCGGCCAGAGCTGCACCCCCAGGGCGGGCGGTGGTCCGGCAGGGCGGAGAGAGGGGGAACCGGGCGCCGAGCCCTGTCCGGACACTGCCACCGTGGGCTGCCTGCTCCCAACTCTGCCCAATCGCCTGCACCACCTCGTCTGCTGTATGCGACTTTCCCTCTGCCTCTTCCCATTCCACCGTGTAAGTCCCAGGCCCTGCAGGAAGAGGATGCAGGAGGCAAGTGGGACCAGCTCCTGCTGCATGCCCTAGGTTTTGTGCACGGCTCACCCTGCACCACTTGCACCCTCTCTGCACCGTTTGGGTAGGAAGGAGGGTGAGAGCTGTGAGTGTGGACTCCAGAGCCAAGTGTGTGTATGCCAACAACACTTGTTAGCCTTCCATCAGTCTGAAATTTACCCTCCAAGCTCTTAGTTGTGAAGGAGATCTCAGGCCAGGTGCTGTAGCACAGTAGAGGGGGATCACAGTCAACTCACTAGATAGAATGAGACTCAATCCCTGTGACCTCCAGGGGACTAGTGAAGGCTTTTGAGATGTTTATTGGAAATTTGGAAGGGTCTGCTGAATGTTGACTGGATGGGCTGCCAGGACAAATATTTCTGCAGAAGTCATCTTCCAAATTTCCATCAGATGACAAGATGGGGAGACAAATACGAAATTTCTTGTGAAGTCCTTTGGGCAGCATGGCTTTTCCATCACTGCAGTTGTCTGCCTACTTGAGGGGAAATTTCACAACTATCTTCCACTAAAGGAGGCATTTGTGATGAAGTGGTCAGCTTTTCTTGGGGCCATGTCCCCATCTCTGCAGGAGCAACAGATTTGTGACTCAGAAATAAGTCACAAAAGAAAGAATTACTTTATTAGATTTTTTTTTTTTTAAACTTCAGGGTATTTTTTCTTCCTAACTGTGCCATTTGAAGAAAGAGTAATTTGCATGAAAGAGATTTCTTCTAAGTACAGGAGGGTAAAATATTCCCCAAAGTTATCTACTTTATAAATATTAAACAGTATTATACATAAATGTACATGTTCACTTAAAAGTAATCTTAACTTTTCCAGTACAGACAATCTAGTGATAGGCACCTGGAATAAAAGTTCCTGAAGTACAGCCTCTGCAGGCAACAAATGGGACAATGACGGAACAAACTGTTGAAAAGAAACAGGGTATATGGTATCTGTACAATAAAGACACAGGCATCTGATAAATGCATCTGTTTATAAATGTATGTGAGCACCAGAAGGGGACAGGAGAAGGTGTTACAAGAAGCAGTGCTTGGTTTGGCTCAGCAGTGCTGTTCAGGTTGTGTTACCTCTGTCACAAAGTCATTTACGTGTAGCTATGTGATGGGCGATGGATGCAAGTGCACCCAAGTGCTGTTTGCACAAAAAGTTATTATTCCTGGCTCCCACCCTGAGCAGAGCAGGGGAATGGGTACAACGTGGTGCCTCCTTTAAAAGTTGGGGACTTAGGCACACTAAAATGAATGCCTTGGTTACACCGTTTATGGTGACGCAGAGTCCTAGTGTTTTAAGTGAAAGATCATTTACTAGAACTTTACTGCATATATTGGACAAAATGAGCTCAACACATTATTCTTTTGCATGGGTTTTGTCAGTGCAAAGCCACTAATTTTCTTTAAATAACAGAAGGTAATGTAGCCAAGACAGAGATTGTCCATCTATAATACTGCAGGAGTTTATTTTTTCTTGCTATTAAAAGCTGCTGAAAGCCCATTTTTTTTAGCTTATTTAGTTCATGTGAACCAGAGTGAAAGGAAATGTTAGGCAGATGTCTTAGCTGCACTAATAGGATGGTTGAAATAAATGGAGAGCAAACCTGCTAGTTCTTAATCACAAAATAATGTACCTGCCTCTTCCTGTGCTGCCGGCACAAATCTCTCGGTAAGGAGAGTTACTGAGAGCCCTGTGCACTTTTTCTTGATGGAAGGTAAAGTAGCTGCTGAAAGATTTTCATGGTTCTATTAAAAGCTACAAAAACTTCAAAATTGATTGTATTTTTCTATACAGATCATGAAAATTTCAGAACTGCTTGATATAATCTCTTTTTGGTGAAGGGAAAAAAAAAAAAAAGAATGTCTGCTGTCAGGGGAAAAAAAAACCAAAACCCAGGAAGAGAAAAATGACCCATTCAGACCTAAATAAAGTATGTCTTTACATTGTAAAGGTTGCCTCTTTTAAAACAAGCTAAAAAGCTGCTTGACATTGTGCAGTATGGTCTCATTTTTTGTTTATATGTGTCAACATGATATATAAATCTCTTAAGATGTCAAGCGCTCCATACTGTAATTTCCAAGTTGCCTTTGAAATATGAAACATGATTTCGTAGTCACAGTGTGCCTGCTCAGGCAGTAAGTGGTGGTTTCTTTGGTATTAGTAACAGAGGAGACCATGCTGTTGTTGAAGCAAGTGCCCTCGGCAGTCACCTGAGTGCCAGGAATATGCACCGAGCAGCTGGATGCCTGGGGAAGCAGCTGTGTTCTGAGCCACAGCTGTCTGCTCCTGTGGGATATCAAATGCCCATGGTCATCCCTAGGCCTGCAGGAGATCCCTGCAGCATTTGGCGATTGCCTGAAACAGCTTTGAGCATTCATTCCCTTCTTTTAATTTAAGATGATTAAAATCTGTAGTGCATTCATCATTCTGGGGACATGGGGGGCTGCACTGACATCCAACACTGGACCTGCCATTCCTGCATCCCATGGGAGGTGTTATTGTGACTTAACTGGTGGACAAGGGGCGAGACACTGGTTTAGGTAACAACAAGAGTGAAAATGTGGCAGCTGCCTGGGTAGGGCAGGTTTGTTGGGACCTATGAGGTGCCCATCTTGTGCTGGGGCCCAGATAACTTGCTCAAGCAATATAGTTAAAGCTATCCCTAATTGCTGTGTTTATTGGAATTATTGTGAGCCAGTGCCAAGGTCTGTTCTTTAGCCTGGGGGCTAACTGCTGCCTTTTGACCACATCCTTCTCACTCCTGCCAGAGAGGGTGGCTGCAGGCTGTGGCTCCTGGCCCCTGTGGACTGGTGCACCCTGTGGGATGATTTTTCCTGAGTCAGCATGGGTCCCAGCATGCCAGTGACTGTTCTACTAGGGTGATAGCATCAGTGGTTGGGGCTGGCAGCATCTCTGCAGTGTTTATTTTCCTGGGATAGGTGCAGCCAGCGTGTCTGCACGTGCTTCAGGCAGACCTCCCAGTGCAATAGAAACAAATCCTGAGCTCTCTGGTGGGAGAAGGGGAGAAGATACCACGTTTCTAAACTTGGTGTGAAATGTGGCAAATAGGGTTTAAGAGCAACCGTTTCCTTCCATTGGTATTTGCACAACTTTATTATAGATATCTACTTGGATTGTTTGTGTATTTATAGGTGAAATTTAAGATGCTGTGGGGAACACTCTAAGCAAATTGTGTTCAATAATTCATCTGGGCAGTGTCCTGTGCTCAAATTTGCCCCATAGCCAAACTTCCTTTATTCTTTATGAGCCATTTTCCAGGGAAATACCAACAGATCATGCAAAGCTTTTCTGGCAAAGCCTTTCATGTAGCAGTTCTCTAGCAGAAAGTTATTCAAAGGACTAAGGAATCATGAACTCATGACCTATTCTAGTTGCATATTTTCAAGTAGAGCCTGATAAGAGAGGGTTTAAAATTTGCTAATTAACAGTAATTGTAACAGCTGTCACATGCTGCTACTGTTTTAATTGACATTAATCACAGCTGCATCTGTATTATGCTGCCACTGGGATTCTGGTGTATTTAATCTCAGAATGTGGCACCTTCTGAGAGATTATGAGATCATAAAAGCATGAGGGCAACATATTTGTCAGGGTTGAAGGTCACTAATCTGTGCTGAAAGCAGCCAAGAGGAGCAAGCCATGCAGAGGGAGAACTGGAACCAGCAGTGGCACTTTGCAAAAGTGGTAAACTTTACTGTTTGGATTCTCTCTCCCAACGTTTTTTTCTGTATTTCTGAATTTGAGTTCTGCTGTCAGATACTGATATAAGGCACAAGGAAGGTCTTTTAGAGGTATTTGTTAGCTTGCAAGTTCTGCTAGGAAAAGCTGTTTTAAAAAAATGCCTCAAAACCCCATGCATCAAACCCCATCAAATTTTATGAGATAAGGAGCAGAAGCTTGGTTCTTTTGGCCCAAGATGTTAGCCTGTTACTATGGATAGGAGGAAACATCTGAGTAATCTGAATGCATGTGAATGACTGTGATGCATTCAGCAGAGTATTTAGCTGTTTGCTTGTGGCAGATTTGTAGCTGTAAGTGTGTTGTCCTTGTAAACCACTGGAATGTCAGATATCAGTGGTTTTCCCTAGCTCTGCTGGTTAGGCAGATGTTCCTGTTAGGATGAGACACATTGTCACTGGGATTGGTTATGAGAACAACTGGTCTATAAATCTCCAGCTTCTTTCTTGTGCGTAAATTATTAGAGACAATTAACTGATACTTTTTCATCTCCCTGAAAATGTGGAGTTATGACAGATTTTATTTTTTATTTTATTTTTTATTTTATTTTTTATTTTATTTTTTATTTTATTTTTTATTTTATTTTTTTATATTGTGGCTATATTGTGTTGCTTCAACATACAGGTTTATATTGGGAAGACATCGCTACTACTGAAACTAGAAACATTTATCTGGCCTCTGTGTTCAGAAAGATACATTTATGATTACACTTTAGTAGAGCAGAAAACTTAGGTCTCGTTACAAATTTAGAGAAAAGAGTTCACAGGCAAAATAAGCATAACAATAATTTATAGAGCTATGAACTTACCCATATGAAAATCTTCAGCAGCTAGCAAAAAAAGTTCTTAAAACTTGGGACTATAGTCTGGGATGAAAATGCAAACTGACACATTTTATTTATACCAGGCTACTTTTAAAATCACTCCGTAGGAGCACTCTTGGCTTGTTTTAAATGAAATCTCTGTGTGGATTGTGCGTAGACCTCTCTCTCTTAGCAAGGAAAAGTGTGGGGGAACTGTTCCATGATCTTGCCTACACCTCTGAGCTCTCCATAGTTAGCAAGACTCGGAAGTGCAATGATGTATGTGATCTTCAAAGAAGTTCCTCTGAAGATGGGTTTAGGATCTCAGTTCAGCATTGAAGTGAAACATTGACTTCAAGCCAAGGATGGCTAGCATACTTAGATATGTGGAAGCTTCTTGCAAAATTGGTTCCTGAATCCTTGTATGTCTCAGCATGAAGTGGTATTTTCACTGTTTTTGTGCAGGGGAAGCGAAAAGAATAGACAGTGCTAATCAGCAAACTGAAATAGGGAAATGCAGAGGTGAGTAATGATGGAAGGTGGATGGTGGTGGAAAATGAGGGAAGGTGTGAAAGAATCCCAAGTATGATTAGCCATTTTTACCAGAAAGATATGATTAGTCCAAAAACCAATGACAGAAATGTCAAAATTTGCAACAAAACCCAGAATTATGTTGTAGATCTTGGGATGGTGGGATGCTACAAGGCTTTATGGATAGCTGTTGGTAAATTTCCCTCAAAGGGAAAGTTTCAAAGTATCTTCTCCCATAAAAGTTAATACAAAATCAACACTGGGAGCTCTGCCTGCTCTTCTTACTCCAGCAATACTGCACTGACTTCATAGTGACAATTTCTTGAGTGACCAGTTGCTTCCAGAGTCAGTGTGGTGCTGCTGCATGAGGGATAATGCCAGTTTGTGCAAAAGCTATTTATTTCCTGTGCAAAATTATTATTACCTTTAGTCAAATCAACCCCTTACTTCCCATTCCTCTCTTTTCAGATCCTCTCCCAACACCACTCTTTCTATAAAATATCTCATCTGCACTCTCTGAGAATCTGTATGAGGGTTTTCAGAACTTATGATTTGCTTGGGGGAATGGAAATTAGAAATGGAAACAAAGATAAATCCTTTATTTTTGTAAGAAGAAATTCACTCTTGTGCAGGAATAAAGATTATGTAATTATTAGGTCAGATCTCAAGGAATTAATTTTTCTGGAAATTGGTAAAAGGGTAATTTCCCCATAGCTTTCCCTAATTATGTTTCTCTTTGTATTTTTCTTCTAGGACCTTTAGAAAGGAGCTGGGGAAAAAACTGTCAGGTCTCCTCAGGGAGAACATGTGATATTATGGTGGGGGTTATTAAAGGCTGTTTGTTCAGATCAATTAATTTCTTTCCTTGGCATTTTTAAAGGCAAACGTGAATTTTTGAAGTGGAGATGAACACTTGCTTTGTTTGTTCAGGAAAAAAACCAACCCAGAATCATCTTTTGCCATAGGAATGAGGGTTATGCATCAGAACATTACAACATATGAGGAAAATCTGGGGAAGATTTAATCAAGTTTATCAAAATTTAATCTTTTGACATCAAGCCAGTTTATACCAAAACATCAACAGAATCCTTAATTCAGAAAACAATCTCAGGGTACCAAATTATCTGTTCCTGAAATGTAAGAACCTTCTCTTTCTGACAACCTGGGACACAAGCCTAATTCTGGTCCTAGTATCTTGTCAAAATTTCAGTGATGTTTTGCTCCTTCAATGCTCCTTGACACTTGACTGTTTCAGAATGGCCACAGCAGCTCTCCCTTTTCCATACTGCAACTTTCCCTGTTTCCCTCTCTCTATGTGCTGCAAGCAGCCCCTGCCACCTCCCCAAGTGATCCTTCTATCCACTGCTTCCCACCTCCCACTTTATAGGTTCTCGTCAGTGCTCATAACCTGCTGTCCCCTCCTCTGCCAGTCTTCAGTGATGTCCTCATCAGAGATATGAAGGGCTTGTGCCTGGGTGCCAGCAGGGCTGCTGCTGGGGGCATCTGCTCCTTGGATCATGGGAAGGGAGGGTGCTGGCACCAGGCACTGGTCCTCTCTGTTTGCAGCTCCAGCACTTAGCCCTGTGCTGCCAATATAAGACAAAGCACTAATTTAAACAAAAACCCAACCAAAACAAAAAAGAAAGGAGAAGAAGGCCCAGAATCAAAGAACTGTTTGGTACTAATTCTCCAGAACACAAATTTCTCTATTCTGTTTATAGAAATTCCAGCAGTCCCTAGCACATTCCTCATTTTGTACCAAGGTGGCTATAGATGTTAATGAGTTTTCTTTGTGGTTTTTTTATGAGGAAGAGAGGGACCAGAGGAATGGAATTAGGGTAAATACACACAGATTCTTAACACTGATCCTCTTGAGCCATTTTACCCCTTTCATGTTGCTTTATTTTGGGAAATTCCCAGTAAAAGATGTTAGGAGAAGTATTATGAGTTAACCCCCTCCCACCTAATTTTTGTCAGGCAGCTTAGGTGCCCAAGTGAGAAACCAGTTTGCCAGATTCCTTTTCAGTACTTCACAGAGGGTACAGCCTCTCCAGAGGGCGATCTGGCCTAACTAAGAGATGAGCACCAGCTTTGTGTGTCATCACTTGTGTTAGAGGAAACCAGAGGTGACCAGACGCATGAAGGAGGCATCTCTGCTAAACAGGCTTGGATGAAACCAGGGTAGAGAAGAGCTGTTTTCCCATGCTTGGATATATCTTGCCAGGAGTCCTCAGGGGCTTGTTTTTCACACACAGCATTGGTTCTGCGTTCTGGGCTGGCTGCTATAAACTTGCATCCCTATAGAAACACACACTTTTCAGTCTCAGTGCCCTGTGGTTCAGAAAGTCCTTACCTTCCTCCCCAAAACTTCCACTGCTGGGAATGGCTTGCTTACCTAATTTGAGGTGTTTCTGGCCCAAGTTTTTGCCTTTAAGCAGTGCCCTGGGATGAACGCTCCTCTTGTCCAGCCCTTGCTCTGTGCCTAAACTGCACACACATATGCAACATATAGACAGATGTTCCTTCCTCCATAGTTCCCCACACTACAAAGGCTAGAGGAACTTAGTTGTGCTTTTTCTGATCTCAGTTCTGCAAGGTTTTCTTGGCAGAAAATTTGCAGGCAGCTTCTCACAGAAGATGTAGCCTAAGGAGAAATGTGAATCTTGGCTTGTTCCCTGGCTCCAGAGGAAAGGCTGCACAGGTGCATGGGAAAATGCAAGGGCAAAGGCCCTGAGCACAGCAGAAAGTATTTAATGATCACCAAGTTTAATGAATTATTTCAAAGCTGATGACACCTGAGAAGACAAATGCTAATAGTGGTGTTATGAGTGTGCAATCTCTCAGGTAAGGCTCCTTGGGATGTCATCACCTGTCTGATGGGCAAAGGGAAGAGAAATGCCTTCATCTTTCAACAGCTGCACTCCCAATAGCTGCCTGCACAAGCACCAAAGCTGAAACAATCTCTACATTTTTCTGTCTGCTCTCTACTGCAGATTGTGCTGACTAGGAAATGAGAAACACATGGGAGTAGTTCACCCCCTTGGCTTCATCACAACTGTATCTGTTTTCCTACAAGATTTAGAGTTATCTTGGCACACATAATTTTAGCAGTCCTCTCTGCAAGTTCTCCTGTGACTTGCAATCTATGAAGAGGGAGAGTGACTGCAAAGGTTTTAATCTGTCTGAAATGGCTGATTAGTTTCTGGAAATTATCTAGAAGTTTGGTTTACAGGCAAGATTTTACTGTCATCTGTGGTCATTAATGATAATATTAAACCCCAGTGCAAAACATTCTAAGCAGCTGTATTTCTGGTATTTTACTTGGGAAGACACCTAATCCTAGACTTTTGCATAGAGAATAAGTCCGTAGCTAAGCCCCTGAAATGTAGAAAATTGAAAAGTCTCTAATAAATCAGTTTAGACTGACAGCACAAGGAGCCTGGGGTAGTGTTCAGAGGGGCTGGCTCTTATTTGTTGTGAGTTACATTTATTTCTCAGTGGTGTAAAACTTCCCCCCAGGCTGGGAATGCCACTTTTTTGCCTCCCTGAATGTGGAAAGTCTTGCAGCCCCTTGACTGATGATCCTTGCTCACCTGAGCCCCTTCATCCCCCTGATGCCTTTCAGGTTCTCCTTTGGGGGTTACACTTCACAGGCACACAGATTATGTGTCTTCTGGGATTCTGCCTTTACACCTCTTCATGCTTTTCCCAGGAAAATTTTATGTTTTGATATGGTACTGGTTGTTATTCATAAACTTCTTTGTTTTGAAATTCTTAATCTTCCTCCATGCTGTATCAAGGACCAGATGATCTGGAAACTTACTCTTGATTACACGTCCAGCAATTGCTTAGGAATCTGCACTTTTTGCCATCTTCTCTCTTAGGTGATGTTTCTTAAGGATCTTTACCAGAGAAGTATAGTTGCAGGGGGAAGAGTGAATGGTTGAGTCACTGATTTTTCCTAGGATTAACTCTAACCTTTTCAGAAGTATCAGCACTGTGTTTCCTGGACCTGCAGCTCTTCTATTTGAAATAGAACTGTGTATTTGAAATAGACTGTGTATTTGTCTTGTCTAGGTATCTTGTAATAAATTGAGCTGGCTGAAGTGTCTTCCTTACACTACAATAGTAAATTCTTTGATTAGATGTTTTTAAATTATATTCAGTATCTGATAACTTTTGTAAGTTAAATAAGTGCTGCATCTCCTAGCTTTTGCATTAGGAGATTTAAGTAGTAGTTTTTATACAAAAGTGTCATGGTAGAACATAAGCATCAAAGCAAATAAAATAAACTTCAAAACAAAATTAAAGGTTTCTCATGGCTATTGACAAGAAGTATCTTTAGACTTCTTAGTGACATATTTTCTAGACTAATGTGAGTTAAAAAAAAGCTATTTTGCCTGTGCACCTTTTCCTGACAACAGTTTGTTTATAGAAACTTTTAACTGTAAAGTCCCTCATGATGGTTTACTGCATAGAAAAAAAATTACCATAATTTGTTTTACACATGCTTCCAGGACTCCATCAGCCACTACTGAATACTACTCTACATTTTTGCTTACATTTGGCCTCAGTATGTCCTTTGAGGTAATTTGCTTTCTGCAGACTCTATGCAGTCCTTCAGGGTTTTAACCTGAGCTCTTTCACTCTCTGTGCAATCTGGTCACACCTTTCATTCTCCAAAGGGCCAGTAGATAGTAGCCTGCTTGTCTCACTCGTTCATAGATTTATGCAGGCTGGGCAGCTGCTACTTCATCCCTAAAAGTCCCTGCCCAAAGATGCCAAAGATACTGCTGTCCTTTCACTCTGTAAATCAGAACTGAAAACTTCTTTCCCACAGGACTCTCATCTGTCAGCTGGCTGCTGCATGCTGAGCTATTCTATTGTGGATCATTTGGAAAGCATCTCTTGGCCCTGATCCTCAGAGGGACTGAGAGCTCCTCCTTGTCCATGTACTCTGTTTGGGGGGGTGGAATGTCTTTGGAGGGTAGGGTCTGTACATGTCACAGGTTGGGATACTTTGTGATGCAAAGGGTGGCAGGTTTCCCACTGACCTGAAGAGGAGCTGGACTAAATTGTTCTGTTGTGTTTTACTTAAAAAAACAAAGGCAATTTGTGATCAGGATGTTTTAAGAAAGAAATATCTATTAAAGGAAAAAAAATAGTTCCATTGCTGGGCACAGGTGACATGATCCAGCCCAGGAGTTTGATTAAAATAGCTTTTCTATTTTTAAGGCAATTCCTTTAAAAGAATGTTTGACTTTTGTGTAGGTGATAAAATCCTGAAAACCTCTCAGAACAGCACTTGGGTTTTGTTTTCCTTATAATACTACATTAACTATTATGCTTATAGCTTTCAAAGCATCACTGCCCTGAAATAAACCTGCTGGACTAAATACATTCATTTGGAAGAGACATACTTTTGAGAACTTAAGTTTTACTCATTTAATAGAAAACCTGATGCAAACTTACCTTTAACTTCCAATTAGTTCCAAGCTGTCAGAAGTTCAACAGTTTTGTTTCCAGTGGCAATGTTAATTGCTGAATGTTCTGAACTTAAGTTCCAGAACAATGTACATGCTCACACACATGTCCCCCACCCCTAAAACACACAGGAGTGCAGACAGGAGCCTGGTAATGCCATAGGAGCTGCAGGATGGATTTTGTTGAGAGGTGTAGTTCCCAATCCAGTGAGTTTGTTTATTCCTTCTGCAGCAAGTCAAAACAGTTTTGGTGACACTGTCAGCATGCCACTGCTGCTGTTGACAGCAGAATAAACACCACCTGAAGGGCATGAGAGAGACTGCCATACCCCACTGCTGTGGGAGGCAGGACTCTGCTCCCTATGCAGG